TATATATATATATATAATTGTCTTCATGCATAATTGTTTTAATATTTCATGCGTGTATTATTTTCTGATAATTTGATAATTCTTTTGCAGGAAAAGTATAAGACTTCATATGATTGCACTGTATTCACTGAGGTAAAATTACCCTTCCTTTAAATTATTTTGATGCAATTAATGTTATTTTATTTAATCTGTATCTTGTTTGTTTTGCTTTGTATAAAATAATGTTTGTTTAGTGCTCATTGCTTGTTTTATATTCAGGGCTTGTTAAACATTTTCAGTAAGACATATTTCAAAGTATTAGCAATACATTTTGAACTACTATTAGGATTACTCTCATTTTCTCATGACAAAATTGGTTACTGACTTGTTGAACAAATCTATAAATGTTTATCTTTACAGATATAATTGAGTAATTTTCTTTAAAATAAATTTTTGCTTTAAATAAGAAACTTTAATATTTCTTGCTATTTTTCATTTTTTCTACTACAAAAGTAGTGTGATAGAATGTCTTTCTGAGTGATATGCTATTCTTATAATAATGTTTCTGAGAAAAAAAATTAATTGCAATAAAAATTCTGTTCTATGCAGAAAATTTTATTAAAGTCAAACTATTTGTTAGGTCCTGGGTAACCTGGCTGGTAGGGCACTGGAACCATGTACAAGAGGTCATGGGTTCGATCCCCATATAATAAATAGTGACTGATGCACGTTAAATCTTCTGAGTCTCAAAGTTTTCCATGTTCCCGTAACAAATCAAATGTCTGGGGGTACTGATCCAGGAGTTTCCCTGTCTTCTGGATTGGTTCAAAACTACAAGGCTATGGAGTTGAACATTAGTAGTCGTAAACTAAAAAGTGGGTCGGCTGTTCAGCAACAGATATAAAATAAAAAAATAAAACTATAGTGATAAAATGTAGCAAATTGGTACTAAAAAGTACCATAAAGTAAAGCTATTAAATTATGGTGAAAATCAGTTTCTCATGGAAAAAACAATTTTATTCTATTAAACTAGATTAATAAGAATTTATCTCAGTCTAAATGCATGACCTGTAATGATGAATTTCTTTTCATAGCTTTATGATGAATGATAAATCCTTTTAAAATTTTATTGGTAATTTAAATGCTTGCATAAAATGCATAATGCGAAAAATTAACATTAAAAGAATTTTGAACATTATTATTTTTTATTTGTTGATCTTTTATTTTAAAATATTAATGTGTTACTATCTAATTATGTAATTAATTTTAAAATTCTGATAGAATCTTTTTTCTATAATGTAAACTATCTAATAATGTAAATTAATTGCATAATTAGATATAATTGCATAATATCTAATTATGTAATTAATTGTTCAAATGTTTCTCAACTCTTTTTGCTATTTTTAGTTTTATGTTTATATTTGTTATTGATTTTCGTTATTAAGGAAGTATCAAAAGCACTTAAATATTTTATATTTTGCATGCAGTGTGTAGCTGATAGTTTATACATCACAGTACCTTCCACTAATGCAGCTCCTACTCTACCATCTACATCAGTACCGAAGACTGTTGCCAATTATTCTCCTAAACTAACGAATCCAGAAAGCAAAGTTATTCACACTTCTCAAGCGTGAGTAAAATGTTATTTGCATGTGGTTTTTATTCAGAATAAAGTAAAAAAATTTCAATTTAAAAAATATTTATGCATCTAAAACTTTTTCATGTATCTCTTTCCTAAATTCTTTTGAAGTAGTTGACCTGGAAGAAGCCTGTTTATTATATGGTACTAGAAATAATTTTAAGATGTCTACGCTCTTGGAATCTTAACACAATCCTATTCACTCATGACCAACAATATGACCATTTTGGGTTTGAATTAGAAATTATTCTATTTTTATACCAGATTAAAGTCTAAATTAGTAGCAATTGTTACTCTAAATTTGGTGAATAAGTTAATAAAAGAAATAGAAATCATGGAAAATTAAAAAAAGAAAAGAAAAATGAAAACAATTCTATATCTAGTTTAGAAATATTTTGACATGAAAGCATGACTTTCATGTAACCCAATCCTATTCTGATGACCAACAATATTTTTTGAGTTGCAATTAGAAATTATTTTATTTTTATAACAGATTAAAGTCTAAATTAGTAGCAATTGTTATTCTAAATTTGATAAATAAGTGAATAAAAAAAAATAGAAATAGTGGAAAATTTGAAACAGAAAAGAAAAATGAAAACAATTCTATATCTAGTTTTGAAATATTTTAACATGAATGCATGACTTTTATGCGCAAATACAAACTTTGTCGGTCATGCCTCTTGAGTATAGAATTATCTAGACATAGAGTAATAATAATAATAAAAAAAAAAAGAATTGAAGTGTCAAAGGCTTTTATGACTTTGTGTTTGGATTTGAGTATTCATTTGATGTTGTTTATATCATTTTAGACATGCCTAGACATAATCTGCTTTTAAAGAAATACCAATTTTTATTTATGGTTTGAAATGACTTATGCATTTACACAACAGGGTTTTTATTGTGAACTTTCAAGGGACTATATCTTTTTTCTGCTGTAACCAAAATCAACTTTGTGTTAGGCTATGCTAATTTGAATTAGTATAAATAATCTTGCATTTTAGAAAAAATAATCCTTTGTTTAAAGAAAATGGTTGATAAATTGAAATGGTATAATTGATAAATAAGGAGATATGTAAAAAAAGAAAGAAATTCGATTGAAATTTGTTGTTATCTAATGAACACAGCACATTAAAAAGGACACATTATCAACTGAACATTAAACACTATTAGAAATTGGTGAAGAGCATAACTTAAATACACATTAACCGGGATCTGAACTATTCTTGACTATGCATGGGGCTTCAAAATAAGTAGACGAAATAAATATTCAAATCAGTGACACAAAATTTTTTTTCACTTGGGTAAATGAGGTTATAAACATTATTTGGTGCCACTAGTGGGGTCGTAAGTTAAATGTTTGTATGTTACGTGACAATGCATCATTGATGCAAAGCATATTTCCAGGTATCTGGCAAAAACTCTAAGCATCTTTTGTTGTAGTATTGGTCTTAAATGTGCAGCATGTGTCAAAATGCAGCTTAAATAAATAGGTGCAGAATGATTTTTGCATATTGTCCTTGTAATATGTATAGTTTGCAACCCATTAACTAGCAGCTGCGGATAAAGTTTGCAACCCCTTGTTTCTATGTAACTCTTCATTCTTTTTGTATGGCTGTCCTTACCTTTTCATTATACCTATATTATATTGAAGAGGCTATATGTATACATGATATGGAGAGTAAAATTGTGTTTAATAATATCTTTAGAAATTGAATTTTAAATTAACTTTAAAAAATGCAATGGACTAAGAAGAGTAGATATTACAAGCCTTTAGGCATATTGAATCAGGATTAATATTTTCTACATGTCTTGTATTTAAACTGCAAACAAAAGCAATTTGAATTTCTTGCATTTAATCATATTTGAATTGCAATTGAAATGAAGAAGTTTTACTAAATGATTCTTTTTTTTCCAGGAGGAAAAGTTTAAAATTTGAAAGACACAAGAGTGAGTCATTAGACCAATCAGATGTTTCCAGCCATTCACAAGAAAAATCTCCCTCCACAGACAGTTTTGAAGTATGTCCTGACATTTCTGTAAAAGAGGTATTATTATAAATTGATTGGAGCATGTAGCATGTTGTTTCACCAGGTCCCTTTTTTTGTGGAAGTTTTTAACTTATTTTGAAAGGAAAAAAAAATTTTTTTTTTAAAAAGGTATGCTTTTTTATCTTAACATCTTTGCATAAAGCACAATTGGTTTTGAGATGTTTTCTTTTGATGTAGCAATAAGTTAGGAAATTTTTTATTGAAACTTTTAAAAATGTAGACTGTAATATTTTAATATTTTTTTAAAGATGAAATTGAGGATTTTATACGAATTATAATTTATATATTGAACTAATTTAATTTTTTTAAAGTTTGAAAACAGTATTTTCTTTAAATTTTTGGGAATTATTTTAAAAAAAAGTTTATTTGTGTACATAATTTGTGACCTGTTTCGATGTTATGTGGGCATGCTATAACAATGTATAATATAACCAGGTAAAATGCAGAAATAATTATAATTTTGTTTAAATTTCGGCATTCTAAAAATACTGGGTGTTTTTCAAAAATATTAAACTTTTTAATACTTTTTGAACTTCCAAATTAAAAGAAACGTAACTAAACCATTCAAAATTATTTCCTCAAAATGTTTTTAATTATTAATTAATATTTCCAATTAATATTTCCAATAAACATGTCAAAAATATCCTTTTTTGTTTCACAAATACGCTCATATTTCTATTTCACTACTCAATCTGATATGTAAATGAACAACCAACACCTAAATGTTATTTTAATATTTCAGTGTGTAATTATATTTATTTTAGCATGTTGAAGAATTTTTTCCCCCTTTGTTTATCTGTAGTACAAAAATGTCCTACTTCAGTATTATTTTCATTAAAAAATATTTGAAGATGATGAGAAGGAGTAAAAGTGACTCATGGCTACATATAAATACATTAAATGTATAAAAGGTTATCTTTGTTCTGTTGGTTAAATAACAAATAAAGAATAAAATACTTTTCTTTTTAAATCAATGTATTATATTTTATTTTAGCTTTAAGTTTAAAGACCTACAATAAATTTGTTTGCACCAAAAAATAAATAAATAAGTAATTCTAAAAGAAAAAATAAAAGTGTAAAATTCAGAAAAGCTTCTCGTTCTTAGTTATATTTTTATCAAGATAAAACTAAAGTTTTTTTAGTTTTTTTTTGTCTTAACTTGTTCAACAGTTTCATTGATTAATTAATTTTGAAAACTATGGGAACACTGATTTAATGTTGCTACTTCATTTTAGTTAAGTATTTTTAGAGGCGCCATAACACAATAATTCAAACTTTATTTTTCAGTAATTTCTTTTTATTAACAATGTAGGGGAGTGTCGGGTACCCCCGCCCACTGTCAATTTCATAAGTATAGAATATTTTTTCAAGTCAGTGGGCCATCGGACATTAATTGTTATATTAAAGAAAGATTATTTTCAAAGTTTCAAGTATTGATGCAGCTGGTAGCATGGTAAACAATAGTTTTGAAAATATGTTGAATATATATTCGATTATGTGAATATATTGTGATAAAAATGATAAATGAGGTTTATTGTCAATACATTGGTCATTTTCATTTGCACCTGAAAAAACAGTAAAAAAACATAATTTTTGTAGCTGGGCGAGGCTACCCGACAAATTTTGAAAAGAGCTGAAAAACATGTTAGTTTAAATTTCTATTTTTTAAATTAAACTATTCTTTTTTTGGTTTATTCTTTTTGCATTATTTAATTAGATGATAAAACAATAGAAACCTACAAAAATATTGATTATTACTCAATATTATACCGAAATATAAGCAATACTCCTTAAGTGGGCGGGGCTACTCGTCTCTCCCCTAACAAATAGACAAATGTGACAAAATAGAACGTTAAAATACTTCTATAAAATATTGTTTTATCAATATAGAAATACTAAAATAATTTATTTTATATTAAAAAAAATTCTTTATCAAATTAAAAATTGCATATGTTTTCTTTTTAATAGATTATATTTTTAGATGAATCTTTTATTAAATTTTTTGAAGCATTGTAGCCTATGAGATCTATATAGCCTATGTAGCCTTCTATCTACTGTCATTGTTTGTATAGATCTGATCTAGATGTGCAGGGTGAATACCCTGATTTTAAATGCTGTGATGATTAAGTTTCAAATTTATACATGATTGTTTTATATCACAGTACGTGTAATCTCTCTTTTTCTTTAATTTAAAATTAACTCATAATTGTCTTTTGAGGTTAATAACGTTTATATTATCATTTTTCTCAGGAAACTCATCTTTTAAATTATCACATATACTTTTTTTTTAAATAAGAGAAAGTTAGAGTAATAAAATTAAAAGTGTAAAGATATTTTGTTTTAGAAACTTCTATAAAAATTCAATGTGTTAATGATGTTACATCACAGTTAACATTCCTTTTAATTTTAGGAAAATGACTTACTAACTCAAGCTGTTCAATTTTTGGGGAAACAGGTAATTTTTTATATTTTATTTTTAATATTTGAGATATGAAATGTTCATTTGCTTAACATTATAAATGCTTCTTGAAAATAAGATAATAAAGTAAGAGTTTTTTCCCATTTAGGATCTGGAAGGGATGTGCATTGATTCAAATATTGCAGATGTTTCAAATTGGCTCCATAAAAACAATTTTTCTGAATTTGCAGAACCATTTTCCAACTATAACGGTATACAATATTTGAAATTTTGATTAAAATACTAATAAATAAACATTGGTAGCTTTCTGTTAAATTAAGCTTGTTGGAGTTTCTGCCAAGAAAATGTATAATATGTCTGACCCTCCAATATAGCAAAGAGTATTATGAAATAACCATTGTTAACTTAGTTAATGAAATTTATGATAAGGAATAAACACTTATGCCATTACAATACAGAATAAAACCTGATTTTTGCCTTTGATTTTTCTAACTGGTTTTCTAGCAAACATTGCCTATCAATGAACTCTATTCCAAATGAGACTTGAATCCGATCAATTGTGATATTTGGTTTAATGTTTAAAAAATTTTTTGTTGTTGCCTGTTGTATGTAAATTTGACTAGACTCTTTTTCAGACTGGTGATATCAGGAAATTGCTTTAGTTTGCATGTTTTCTGCACCATGTAAATGTAGGGAATCATTTACTTTTGTTGTTATGTTACTAGTAAGCAAATTTTTTATGAAATCAACAACAAAAATAACTTTTCAGATCGAAAAAAAAAAGGAAAAGACTTATCTAAGGTTTTCAACTCTTTTAGCTATAAGAGATGATTCCGTCTCTGTTTGAGTTTTGGCTCTGAAAAGGTTTTTAGGCCCATGATAAAATTTTTATTTCTTTTCTGCCAACTTTCAAATGTAACAGTTATATAAACATTTATATGTATATATAAATAGTTACTAGATATAGAAATAGCTAAAACAAATTATAAGTAAATATATAAATAGCTACTAGAGATAAAACAGGCTCTGTCTGAGCTTAGGCTCTAAAAGGTTTATTGGGTCCGTGATAAATTTTTTATTTTTTTCCTGCCAACTTTCAAATTAAACAGATATATAAAAATCTAGTTAAATTAGTTATTGCATATAAAAAATTTAAAATTATTTAACATAAGCTGTTTAGAAGAAGAAAATATTAGAATTAAAAAATGGGTAATTTATATTATAATTATGTATCTTAAATCCTTCACTTTTCTTTCTTATATCTATTTTAAATTCTTACCTTTACTTGTCGTTTCAATAAAATATACTAACCAAATTTAAATTCTCACCTTTAAAAGTGAGCTTTATCTCAAATTTCTCTAATTGATACATGAGCAGGCAATATTAGATTTTTTCAAAATATTCTAATATTTATATTCATATCTTTAATAATTGTTGCAATTTCAGTTTTATGATATTTTCAGAACTGTTTATAATTAATTTGATTTTATGTGCTTTCATGTGTTAAAGAAGAATCTTATATTTAGGTCTTGATATGTTAAGGCTTTGTCAAGATGACTGTATTAAAATATGTGGTCTTACAGATGGTGTAAGATTGTTTAATTCACTTCATTGTCGGTGAGTTACTTTTCGTCTCTTTTTCGTACCTTTTTTACAGTGATTAGTTTACTAATTTATAAATTTGTTGAATAATAAGGCTTGACGTTGTGATTTTTTTTCAAATATTGCACTGTATGAAGTTGTTCACTTATATTGCTAAGAGTGTGTCTCTATAATGTTTGACTCATTCTGGAAAAACAATTAGTTAGTAGAATTTTAAAGGTTATGCTAACCATTTTGTTTTAACTTTTATTAATTTTAGTGGAAAAAATATTTTCTTAAAAGGCTTCTGACTTGTGCTAGTTTTGTGAGTTCAGAATATTTTGCTTAAATTTCTAAAAGTTGCGAATATAAATTTTTATTAACTTATATTATAATTTAAACTTAAGATACTATAATTTAAACTATACTTTAAGTTATTCTGATTTGCCATAAGTAAAGAAAACAGAAATAAGCATATTTTTATTAGTAGTCAATGAATTGTTGATTAGTTCATTATGACAGTTAATCACATGTTAAAGTCATGTGATTAATGATCATATTATTTAAGCAATAAAATATTTTCAAGTAAGTTAAACTTTTTAAAATAAGTTGCTGTTAAATTATGTTATTAAAAGGTGTTTTTTTTTGTCACATATTAAAAATACTGTAAATTTGCTAAAAGAAAATTATGTGAATTTACTTTTTCTTTTGTCGAAAATAGTGTTTAGCAATTATATGTTTTATTACTTTAACTTTAGGAAAAATATTTCTTAAAACTTAAAATGTATGAAAATATTTTAAAGAAAAGTAATAAAAGAAATATTTGTACAAAGTTATGTACTTGATTTATTAATGTTTTTCAGTTGGAAAAGAAATTACAATCTTTACATGTAGCTGTGTAAAGAATTTAAATAGTTATTGTTTAATGAATTTATGCTCCATATATAAATAAGTAAATAATTTTAAGGATTTAAGATTTTATTTATTAATTACGATCAAATTTGAAACTAAGGTATAAAAATAAAAAAGTTTCTTTATTTTATTAAATTTATAATATGAATGTTTGCAGAATATGTTTAAAAGAATAACATAAATTTTTAGGATAAAAGGCATTTAATAGAAATTTATTTCAATTAAAACTTTAATTTTAAACTAAGAATATTTTTTTTCAAATTTTATTAAAAATTGCTCACTTTTTGTTTGAAAAAAATTAACTGTTATTGCTTTCTATATTATTTTATACACCATAACAAATTAAAACCATAAACATAACAATTAAATTATAAATGGCCAGTTTTCTTTTAAATAAATAGACAGAAAAAGAACATTCAAAACTGAGGTAAAAGTTAAAAGCCTAGTGAATCATTTTATTTTTGTTTTAGATTATCCAAAAAATGGTGAGTAATTTTTGTGTTTAAGAAAATTAAGGAAACTTACAAAATTGTATTTATTTATTTTAAAATCACACACCAATGACGAAATCTGTGCAAAATACTTTAGTTTTACTTTGAATTTCTTAATTTGATTAATAAACTGTTATCAAAACTTTTTTACAATAAAAGAATTTACGGAGGTTGTTAAGCTGTAAATTATAAAAAATTTTGAATTCTATGTCTGAAAAGGTTTTAGCATTTGGTACAAGATTTTATTGATAGTTTTTTTCCTACTAACAAGAATTGTTAAATTTTTCTTTTATCTTGTTTAAGCATGTATTTTCAAATGACTCTGACATTTTACAATTAGATGGGAATCAGTTTTGTAAGCTCGTATGAAATTTAAATATTAACCACAAATTAATAGTTAATAGTTCCAATAGTAAATTGCTGACATTAGCTGCAGATAATCTCAACTCGAGATACATTGAGCAGTTAACAGTAGTTCTCTGTATTTCTCTGTGCTTGGACATTGTCACTTCAGAGAAAAATTTTCCACCATTTAAGTATAAAATCTTTTCCATTAAAAAATTGTAGTGAATGAAATTTTCTAGAATTTATATTGATTGAAATATATGTTGAGAACAAAATATCCGAAACATTTATTGAAGAGAAAATCCGTACAGCAATAAAACTAATTCTGGCATAAAAATTGAAAATAAAGTTAGTAATTAGTAATTAAAGTTAATAATTAGGCTTTTACAAAGTTCTTTAGTTTAGATTGGGAAAAATCTTTTCTTTCAGTTTAGAGTTGGTCTGTTATGTCTTATATACTTTTGCCATTTCTTTCAGGATATTTCTTTAATTAGTTATTTATGCTTTGAAATAATAATAATATTAAATTGATCGATAAATTGATTTTCAAATTTGGTTTAAAAGTATTTTATTACTCAAGTGAGGTCAATCATGTGTTCACTGTTTCTTATTTTTAATTCTTTAGCTTATGGCATTTAAGGGAAATTTTTTTTTACAAAATATTGTTCAAATGCGATGTTATTAGTTTTTATGGTTGTTATTTTCATGCTATTTTTTATAATCAATTTGTAGGCCTGTGTTAGCTAAAAAAGCTATATTTGCCAGACTACCCAACGAAGATGGTAAGTGCTTTTTTCATGATTGTCAAAACTTTCCTTGTATTTTCTCGTCTAATCCTTGCTCTAATCTTCCTTTTTGTCGTCTAATAGTTTAGGATATTAAGATATAAAGCTATGTTTTCAAAAAACAAAAATGCTATAATCATTTTTAGTAACGGAGTAGCATCAAATGTTTTGAAACAAGACTTTGTACAAGAACAAATGTTTTGCTTCTATTGTCAAAAATAAACTGCTCCCTCTAGTTAAGTTATTACTATTTTTTACAAATAAAAAATAATTTTATTTTGAGAAATGAAGGTGTAAAGAAATAACCTTTTTATAAATAATTATCAAATTTTTTAATGCTTATATAATGAGACAAAAACTATTAACAACATTAAAAATTTCATCACCTTTTTGTTGTAAATTGTTCTGTTTACTTTCTACTTTGATAGGGATGCAAATTGTGCCAAAAAATCTGAAAGTAATGACTATTTTAAGATAAAATAATGGGAAAAACAATTTCTGAAAAATTACAAATGGTAGGGCTTAACACGAGCTATGCAGGTTGAATCATTTTAAATATGTTCTGGCAGTTAAGCATATGTTATTTAACTTGAAAATAAATAAAATGAGCTGTTTAATTATGGCTTTTTACATTTTTGGGCGATTGTGCTTCAATGTTTATAAATCAAAATGTTTCATTTTGATTAATTATAAACATTGAAGTTTAATTCCTTTTCTCCTGAAGTTTAATTCCCTATGAATGTAGTATGAAGACTTATAGAGTTTTGTATCTTGTTTTAATTCTTTGAAAGTCAGGAACTTTTTAATAATTTGAAATAGAGTCACCCCTTTTTTTCACATAGAATTTACTCCATCTATTGTTTACAAAAAATTTCTTAAATTTGAAACAATTATTACATCAGAGCAATTTTAATAACTTCTTAGCCAATTTTCATAGCCTTTTTCTGTGAAATAATACTGTATTATGAGAGAGCATTGTTTTATTTTCAGTTTTCCGAGCCGTCTATTTACATGATCTGAGTGCTACTTACTTAATTACAAAGTTAGCTGTTTTGTTTCACATTCCTGTAGAAAGTATTCAGGAACTGAGGTTGAAATCTGGTTCAGCTGCCATCTATTCAGTTACTGATGAGGTTTGTCATTTTAAGTATTATTTATATTTTATTTTCCAAATCAATGTTTTTTTTCTCCTTTCACTCTGGAATATTTAAAAACGCTAACATTAAATAACGTTGATTTTTAAATATTTTTAATTTATTCTGTGTAATTTTATTTAAGCTTCAATTTCTTTGCTTTTTTATAGTTAGCTATTTGTATTTTTTATAAAAAAATGTTTATTTTGTTTAAAGATACTTTGCATGCATGTTTATATTTGAAATTGTATTTTGAATAAAATTTTTTTTTTTTTAAAACTAAAAATAAAATTTATACAATATCTCTGTCAACTCTCATTTTAGTCATTTCTAAGAACTTCTCCATATGGTTATTAAAATCAAAAGCCCATAAACAGGAAATAGCAAGGTAAAAAAGAAAGATATACAGCATTTGTGACTATTATTGATATTCTTTGAGGGTTAAAACCTCAGTGCTTTATTTATTTATTTTTGTAAAAATAGATTTTCTTCTATTTTTCTTAATAATAGAATTGATTATTATTAAAAAAGTGGCTCTGGGAATTAGGAAACTTGTAATTCCCAAAGTTGTGTCCCCTTTTTGGATTTGTATTTTTTTACAAACATATTCCAGTCCCTTAGGTTTTTTTAAAGTAATAATAAAGTCTCCAGTTACGATTTTTATATCAGTTTATGGTCACTGGAAAGATGAAAAGAAAGACTTATTGCCCTGAAACTTTGATTATCAGAAATTGGTTTGGTTTCATTTATTGTAAATCACTACAATAAAAACTACTATCTTAGACACCTAATCACATCAGTGATATACCTGTAAATGCGCCAATAAAAACTGCTTTGTAATCTTATATCTGAATTTTTAATTTTTTTCTTATTTAATTAATACTTTTATTAAAATGAACCATAACATTAACATGATATTGTGTTAGAAACTTCAGTAACAAAATTTTCATTTAGTACTGAAAGAAAACACAAATAATTAAATTCGAAAGGCTCGATCGCCAACATTTTTTTGCATTTTTTTGAGACTAAATTTCTTGAACATAAAGAACTTAATGCTTTCCGATACATTGATGATTTGATTTTGTTTAATTGTGATGATTGTAATTTTATTTATAGTATTTATCCTGGTGATTTGGTCCTGAAAAAAACTAATGAAAATTGTTTTAATATTGAATATTTAGATTTTAAAATTGATATTGTTAACAGTTTTATTAAAATTGGTGTGTTTGACAAAAGAAAGGCTTTTAATTTTAATGTTATTTTTTTCTGCAACTTTAAAACTAATTTGTGTAGTAAAATATTCAAAAATCTTGTTTTTTCGCAATTAGTTAGGATCAAGAAAATTNATATTTTTTAATTATAGGTGGTGGCTAATTTGCGAGACGATTCACTCTTTGTTTTAGAAATTTTGTTGCATGGTAAGTTCTTTTGTTTCTTTTTTTCCCCTGTGCAAATTAGTTATGCTGTCTTTTATAATTCAAGAAATTTTCTCTGGAATAGTAAGGTAGGACAAAACAATTGCTATTAGTTTATAGCAATTTTAGGAGTAACAGATAGACGTTTTTTTTTATGAATGTGAGCTTATATGTGCAACGTTTTCTTCAAAATAATATCTCCCAGTTTAAAGCACAGTTTTAACTGTGTTTAAAATATCAGAGATGATTGTGCTTTGAAAAAAAAATTCGGATTTCCGGTTTTTTTGCGAACTGCTATCTGGAAGTTTATTGGAAATCCAAGGTCCAGAAGTTTCAAAGAAATCCTCGATCACATTTATGTATAAAAATTCTTGTATATTTAATTTAAAAATATTAGAACTAGAATTTATGCTTGGCATCTCTTTCATTTGTAAATATTTTTTCTGGTAGAATAATAAATGCGATTAGAGATAAAAGTAAACTGATATGTAATTATTCATTAAAATTATACTGCATATAATTTATTTAGAATTTCATGTTTTGAAAATATCAATGATTTAAATTTAAGACATTAATTTTTTAAAATGTTTCATTAATTATTTTACTCAAGAAATGTTCAGGATTTTTGATTTGGGCTCACTATCACCCCTGAAATATGCATTTAAATTTATGTTAAATATTATGTATCCTGTTTTTGAAAAATAGTTGAAGGCAGTGACTGATATTTTGACATGTATGATATGATTTTATATTGAGCCGTATAATGTTTTCTATAGAAAAGTATTGAAGTAGCATTGAAGTTAATTACTGATCTAAAGTGTTGGTGCAATTTGTCAGTAGATTTAATATTTTTAATTCATTCTGTATCTGAATTATAAACTGGGATATTTTCTAGAATATAATTTTATATTTAGTGCATGATTGTATTTTTTTTATATAGTTTAAGGTATGAATTGTTTAGAGCAACATATATAACAACAAAATCATGTACCTACAATAAAGATTTTGAAGTCATAGTATTTAACCTCTAAGAATGACCATTTAACTGTGAAACGGAGAGTGGTTGCTCCTGAGAAGTTAAAGATCTAAGGTTCTGTACGTGGTTTGAAGACCAACCAGTTCCTAATTTATGATTACCAGCTTGTTTGGGAAGTAAAGTCAGACAGTGCGTAATGCTGACCACTTCATGAACGTGAAATTGTAGAGCTTTAACTTACTAGTTGTTGCAAGAAAGCTTTATTAAAGTAATGAAAAAGTTCACTTTCCAAAGAATATAGTAAAAGCTTTGATAATGTATGGTTGTTCAAAATTGATTTTAGAATTAAAACAAATCAGTATTATTGTTATTAAAAAAATTCTTTTTAATTTGTTATATTGATATCATGATCTGTGTCCTCTTTTTATCACTTCATATTTCTACTATTTTTAATAAAATTAATTAACCTGAACTTTTTTTTTTCAGATCATTCTTTGGACAAATATATTCTTCTACTAAAGCCACACAAAGATTTATAACGTATATTGACTCGGAGATTAAGACTCTCATTTTCCATTATGTAAATCTGAAATGCCATAGTTTTCTATACTCATTCATAGAACTAAAGAAACTTATATTTACTGTAAATAAAATTTTAAACCTTTTATTTTAGATATTTGCACAAAGTGTATAAGAGGACTCTTTCTTTTTTTTATATTTTGACATTTTTATTTTATCATTTTATGTTACAATTTTTAATGCTGTTTTGTTGTATATGTACACATAGAAAAGCTATGTGGTTGACCAATAAATGATTTATATTGTGGTTGTTATTTTTGATTCTTTTTATTTTGAATCACGATGTTAGTACTTATTATAGTTACGAAAATTTGGTACGGCAAGTGGTAGCTTTTCAAACTTTTGAAATATGTAATGATTAAAGAAAAAACTTTTGATCTTAACAATGAATGTAGTAAGGCATTTCTTTTGAAGTATTTTTCAAAATATGGTAAATATTTTAAGGTTCTTATCTAAAATGAAGAAAATTTTTTTCAGCAAATAGAGAAAGAAAGAAAAAAATCTTTTAAAATAAGATTTTATAAAATTAACATTAAAAACTTGAATTATATTGTTTTTGGAGAAAGATTACCGAAAACTGCGTAGTACAGTGCACAAAAAAACAAAAAAAAAGTACCACCCTGGATAGCTTTTGATCTAATGATCGGATCTTCATGTTCTAGGACTCAATTTTAATGGCTCGAGGGGGTGACTTCAAATATGCTAATTAATAAGTGCAGACGATATTTTAAGTTACGAAATATGACTCAAAAACTTACTTTCTTTGATTAAACGTACCTTTATTTTGATGGATTCGTTGAGCCATCAAATTATAGGGGATAGCCGCAATCTGTGGAATATGGTTCCAATAGTTAGGTCAGGAGAGTGGTCCAAAGTTTGATGTTTGTTTTAAATTTTGCGTATTTCGAGAACTTTTTAAGCAAACTGAAAAATTTTTGCCTGCAGTTATAAAATTCGTTTATCCAAAGATAATTCCTTGCAAAAATTAACTTGTAGTAAATATTTATTATTTTATTTAATAATGGACTAAAAATTTTTGAGTTGTATGGTGTTCAATTTTTTGCATCATTTTAAAGAATGTAATTTTATGTATAGCAAAATACAAAATTTGAACTTTAATTGCTTGAATAGTTCCTGAAAAAACGAATATAAAGTTTCTGACTTTTTTTTTAAACCAATTTCTCAGGAACTATTCAACCAATATCGCTTAAATTTTGTATTTTGCCATATAAAATTAGATTCCTTCAAATCATGCAAAAGTTGTATACCTTACAATTCAAAATTTTTTGACCATTCTTAAATAAATATTTACTAAAAGTTATTTTTTGCGTGAAACAATCTTTGGATAAACGAATTTTATAATTGTGTGTAAGAATTTTTCAATTCGTTAAAAAATTTCTCGAAATATAGCGAAATACGCAAAAATTAATATTACGGGGTCTGAACTTTGGTGTGCTCTCCTGACCAAACTAACGGAACCATATTTCCTGGATTGCGGCTACCACCTATATTTTTAGGGTCAGAAATCCGAATCCATCGAATGAAAGGTATGTTTATTCATAGAAAGTACGCTTTTGTGTTAAATTTTGTAACTTAATATATTAATTAGCATATTTTAGGTTACCCCCTCCAGCCATTAAGATTGAGTCCCAGAAAAGTGAAGATCCGATCATTAGATCTAAAGTTATTCAGAGTTCCTTTTTTTTTGCTCACTGAACATTACAGAGCAATCTAAGTCACTGCAGAGCCGTTAGTGTAAGTAGCAGAATTATTTATGTCTACTTTGTAGAATGATTTGAGAATTTACAATTTTATACGCTGTTCAGAAGTTTTTTCATCATTTTATAAATCATTTAATATTTTACTAATTTAATTTTTTTTAATTGGAGAATAGTTATAACCTACTAGCAACAATTAACAGTATTAAAACTGAACAACCTATACAATTTTCGATCAAATCTAGTTTTTAGGTACTGAATTGCAATTTTTATGGTTCGAATGCTTAAAATATATTACTTAATTAGTAATAACCAGTAAAAAAACTATTCAATTTAAGCAATAAACAATAAAAGCTTAACTTCTCTTCATGCAAAAATCAATAGTTTCATATGTATGAATTTAAAAATATAACTAGCTTTAAATGTTCTCACTTAAGTTGATTTTTAAACGGAAATTATTTTTAATGATTTCTCTTTTCCATGTATATAAAAGCAAAAGTCTGTTTGGATGTATGTTCGCTAATAACTCAGGAACAAAAGCAGTGATTTTGATCGTGTTTTTTTTAGAAGTTTTTAAATTTTCTAGTGGGGGGTATTGGTGGTAAACAATCGTCTCATATATGTGATTCCAACACTGTATCGAAAGTACGAAATTTCATTGATGAAAACCATTGTTGTAGAATAAAAACGCGTTGTCATGGAAACGGCAATTTTAAAAAATATTTAAGAAGAAGGGATACACCAGAAGTTTTCTAAATTTCCTCCGGTTTTAAGACACTTGTAATTGTTTACATTTAGTCTACCATCCATAGCAAATAAGTGCACAGTTTGGTTTTGACAAACAATTTTGCTAATTTGATTTATTATCCATCAACAGCGTCATTAACCCCTTAACGATCGGTTGATTTCCAAGAATACGGTCATAAAAGTGCCTATTTTTTGGCTTTTGTATTACGTATTTGATTAGTGCTGCAACTAGTTTAAAATAAACTAACTATCTACAATTACCTTAAAAATATCCTGGTACTGCCATCAGGTGTGTAAAATGAGAAATAAAATATTTTCCGGGCAAAAGAAATGAATTAGTTTTATTCTTATTGGCGCGTTACTACTAAACACTCCAGCCCGCCAATATCACGGGAGCGAGAAATAGCGGGCGAAAACTCAGCTCGTCATTTTCACGGGAGCGAGAAGGAAGGGGTTAAAATAATTGCATAGTTTTTTTTTATGAAGGTTAACATATGTTTTACTCAACATTTTAATGACAAATTCGCCATGATACCCTCTATACCAGGGATGGCGAACCAATGGCACGCGTGCCATTGGTCGCCCGCGACACAATATTTTGGGCACGCCACCGATTACAAATTTCACTATGAAGCATATTAACAAATAAATTAAAATTCACAGAAACAAACAAAAAAAGGAACAATTATTAACAAAAAAATTAACAATTAATGCAAAAAATTCGCTTATTAAGAAAGAATTTGATTTGAAAAAAATTTGTTTCAGTAACACCTGATGGTGCTCCAAGCATGGTGGGAAAAAAAATGGTTTCATAAGTTTATTTCAAACAGACGCAGGACACTTGATTCTTGAATTCCACTGCATCATTCACTAACAAGCCTCGTGTGCTAAGAGTGGTTTAACATCTCTTGATAATGTAATGATGGTCGACACAAAAATAGTCAACCTCATTTCGTCGCAGGCTTTAAATAAGCGAAAGTTTGATGTTCTGTTGGTTGAAGTCAACTCGGTTGTATAATGGTTTACTGATGTATAATAATGTTTGCTGGATGAGCCACGGGAACGCACTTCAAAGATCTATTGATTGCTTGGAAGAAATCAGACTGTTTCAGCAAAATGAGGGGGAAATTGAACAGTACCCACAGTTGTTATGTGACTTTCAAAATTGATATTTTAACAGACATATGCCAACTCTTTATTGAATTGAAAATGAAGCTTCAAGGCAGAAATGAAACAATTATCGTCATGATAGATCTCATTCACGCTTTTTACGCTAAACTGCATGTTTTCAGGAACTATCTTATAACACGAAACTGCAAGTATTTTCCAAACTTATTAACGATTTAGATATACATGAGAAGCCAGGCGAAGAAAGAGTCACTGAAGAATTTATTTCTGAGATTGATTCTTCAATTAATGAATTTTCGGAGAGATTTTCTCAGTTCAGAAAATTATCGGAAACACTCAAGTTTATCATGTACCCTGATGTGACTTCATTGGACTTGTCCCAATTCGATTGGTTGGAAATTGAAGAATTTGAAATGCAGCTGATTGATTTCTAGTCTAGTTCAAAATGGATTCACAAGTTTATTGAAACAAGAAAATAGTTGGAATTAATTGAAACAGAAAGATTGACAAGCAATATAAGTAAAAATGCCAATAACAAAATTTAGGAAACAGAATTCGTTACCAGACACATTTAACTGTTTGAAGAAAATGGCTCGTGCTATTTTACCCATATTTTTATCTACCTATGCCTGTGAGTAATTATTTTCAGAGATGAATAACATTAAAGACTCGATTAGAAATCATTTGACAGATGACTCCAGTTCATACATTCTGTTTTAACATCTTAATAGCCTAATATAAGTAAGTTATTTTTCCTCTAATCTGCAAAAACAGAAGATGTTACATTAAGATGAATTACGCGTATAACTGAGACATTGCAAAATGTATATTTTTTTTCGTAGTTAATAAAGAGTTCTGAGTTGATAGTATTTAGTATTAATATTTTCCCAATAATCACGAAGTAAAAATTATTTGACGGCACATCTATGACCTCATTAAACATTTTCTTAGTAAAAATGGCACGCTGATACATAAAGGTTCGCCACCCCTGCTCTATACTATACGAACATGTAAGAGATAAAAAATTAAATCCATTCTCACTCGTGCAATATGAGTTTACTGTCTGCATAGTGTCTTGAATTTATGATCTTAAATCTGGAAATGTGCAAAATGTGAAATTAACATTAAGAGGTCTAGGACTACTCTCCTAGCAAAACTATTACCATATTTTCCAATTCGCATCTTCCTTTCTAAGGTTAAGTAATCAAAATCTGTCGAAAAAATAGCATGTTTATTCAGAGAAAGAATGCTTTTCTTTTGTTCAATTTCTTTATTAATTAATCAGCATATTTATGGTCACCCTCGTGAACTAATAAGATTGAGTCCTAGTACGTGAAAATCCAGTTATCAGCTCAAAATTATTCAAGGTGTTCCTTATTTTTCTTTCTTTTCTTTTCTTTGAGCATTGAGCCTTACTTTATCATTAACAAGAAATATTTTCAAAATACCGCTTACTCAATTTCTATTTGATAGAGACAGGTGAATGCAACCAATTAAAAACTGTATTCACCTGTTCACACTTTCTTAATGAAAATTCTAGACAACTTTTGTTTCTCTTATAATTTAGTTTTATGTAATTACCAGACAGGCATGCAAATGTGATGTAACTTTTATTCCAATGTTAACAAATAAATAAATATAAATGCTACCTATTCGTTTCTATAGATTCATAAAGGACTCGTTTCAATTTTTGATTGAATCTTTATTGGAATAAGATATTACGAGATTATCTCTGCATCACGATTGGAAAAAAAGTATCCTTTTCACACGAATTTTGAGAACATTGTAAGGGAATTCGGGAAGATGCAGTCGCGAGTGATTGCTTTGGTTGTCACAATCCATTGCTGTTGAAATGGTGCTTGGGCACCAATTCTTCAACGACAATTGCAGTCAAGAATATGCAATCCTATGGGATATGAGGAGCTTAAGGGCCCTTTATGGCGTTGATAAGGTACAATATTTCTAAAAGCAATTTATAATTATAATATGCGTTCCTTTTCATATTGATTTTTTTTTCTATGCTGAAGTAATTGAGATTCGTACAGAGGAAGGTTGAATGGTAATATGGATGGTTTCTGAATGTAAACAATTACAAGCTTTCTAAAACCGGAAGGAATTTAGAAAGCTTCCGGTGTATCCCTCCGCCTTATGTTATGCTTACGAGGCGATGCGTGAACAGGCTTAATAGTCTCTGGAGTTTTATTAATGTGAATTATATTTAAATAGTGAGCGTAATTTTTTCATTCTTAAGAGTTTCCTGTAATTTATAAATTCTAACTGGTTGTAAGCCTAAAACAAATTTAAGAAAATTAATATCACAGCATTAACAAATTGTAAGGTTTGTCAGGCTTTATCCTTATTTGCCTAATAAAGGATAATAAGGACAAAATCCCGTATTTAGCTATGTTTGTGTAAAATAGCACCGTTGGTCATTCTTTTTGTGTCGAATCATAGCAAGTTTGCAGTCTTCCGAATTCATTTGTTGTTGTTTATTTACGTCGCACTAGAGCTGCACACTGGGCTATTGGCGACGGTCTGGGAAACATCCCTGGGGATGATTCGGAGACATGCCATCACAATTTTGATCCTCTGCAGAGAGGATGGCACCTCCGCTTCGGTAGCCCGACTACCTGCACGCTAAGTCGAGCACTTTACGGTAGAACAGTTTAATGAGGACCAATACCGCACACCCTCGGTCCCTACGCAGACTGATCCAAGTGGTCACACACTGACCGCTGCCAGTGATGCTTGACTTTGGTGATCTGCCGGTAACCGTGTCTTAACGATCAATCCACTGCGGGACAATTTGTTGTTTGTGGAAAGAGCGTGTCATATTGTAAAAACTACAAATGTAGTAATATTGGATATTTATATTGGCTTTTTCAAGCTTAGGAGTAAAACTCTGTCGGAAGTAATAACCCGGAAGTCTTACGACGAATTTTAACCCCTAGCGCCATCTACGGACCATGGGAGGCTCTCGTTTTTCTCTCCATGTAACGCAAATGCGGGTTAGTTCCATCAAAAAGTCCTCGACGAAGGCAAATTTTCTCTCAAAACATGATTCCTTGTCTTCTGGATTAGGTTTAAAATTTCAAGACTACGAAGTTAAACATTAGTAGTCGTAAACCCAAAATAGAGTCGGCTGTTTAACGACGATTATGAAATTAAATGAAATCATCCAAAATGGTAAAATTTACAATAGCATACCAAACATCGTACACAGAAACATGAAGAGCTCTTTACATAATATATTTTTTATTATAAACCACCTATGTAAAGGAATAAATTAATGTTATATATTTATGCTTAATGAGTCGAGATGGCTCAGTGATTAAAGGAACTTAGCCGTCACTGTGAAGGATTGGAGTTCGATCCGTGGTGGTGATTTCATGTCCGCCAGCTTCAAATCGATGGGTCTCGAAGAAAAAGGTATTTTGTGTGCCTAGGTAGGAAAATAAAGTAGGAAAAACTCAGAGGTACTCAAGTACTTTGAAAGTATTACATTTGCTTACAGCGAGTAGCTTACAAAATCGTAGATGTTGTTATTGTTCATTTACGTCGCACTAGAGCTGCTCAATGGGCTATTGGCGACGGTCTGGGAAACATCCCTGAGGATGATCCGAAGACATGCCATCACAATTTTGATCCTCTGCAGAGGGGATGGCACCCCCGCTTCGGTAGCCC